TAGGTAACACTTCAGAGGGGGGAGGGAGGGTATGTGATAGCTTTAACTCTTGCTGCTTCTTGCCATCTTGATTTTGAGAGAATCCTGCGAGAACATCGTGATGAGGACTGCTCAGCATGAATAAATCTTGCTAATCCTGGTGATCCTGGTAATCCCGATAATCATAGTAATCCTGATAATCCTAGTAATTCTGATAATCCTGGTAATCCTGGTAATCCTAGTAATCTTGCAATTCCTGACAATCCTTGTAATTCTAGTAATCCCGATAATTCTAGTAATCGTGATAATCCTAGTAATTCTGATAATGCTAGTAATCCTGGTAATCCTAGTAATCCTGGTAATCCTTGTATTTCTAGTAATCGTGATAATTCTAGTAATCCTGATAATCCTAGTAATCCTGATAATCCTAGTAATCCTGGTAATCCTAGTAATCCTGGTAATCCTTGTATTTCTAGTAATCCTGATAATTCTAGTAATCCTGATAATCCTAGTAATCCTAGTAATCCTGATAATCCTTGAGATTCTGGCAATCCTTACAATCATGATAATCCTGTAACCCTGATGCTGCATCCTATTTTGTGATCAAGACCATTAATTATCACTCGACGACTCGTCCGTGGAGTTGCATCTCTGATCGGCACTGCAAAAAGTTTTAGCTCTTAGGAATACGAAAAAAGAAATATTTCAGATTATTTGAAATTAATTATAAATTTCTAAGTTATGTATTACAAACAAGCACATACTGACTAATTTCGTTGACATTTGTGACGTACTAACGCTAGTTTTGGGTGACCTTTGATCATGTGGCAGAGACAAAAATAAATCGTGGACACATGACACACTGGGCCCCGACAACATAGCGCACATGACACACTTGGCCCCGACAACATAGCGCACATGACACACTGGGCCCCGACGACATAGCGCACATGACACACTAGGCCCCGACGACATAGCGCACATGACACACTGGGCCCCGACAACATAGCGCACATGACACACTGGGCCCCAGGACGGAATGCGGCCTAAGCACCGCGGGGCCCGGCGTATTTTATTCATGCGGGGTCCGATCGATGGGCCAGGCAACTATGCGCCTGAATGTTGATATAATTATATTTCTTTTGGGTCTAAACACGTCTTATTTACGACTGAAGAGTGCACCAAACTTTTAATTTCGTCTGAACAAGTCTTATTATTATGAGTGCACCAAACTTTTAATTAGATCTTAACATGTCTTATTTACGGCTTAAAAACGCATCAAACTTTTAATTTGGTTTAAACATGTCTTATTTACGTCTTAAAAACGCACCAAACTTTTAATTTCGTCTGAACATGTCATGTTCACACTGAAGTATGTCTGAAAATGCCGTATTTAAGACGCCGTATTTTCTAGACTAGTCCCCCCATGTTCCTTGTTTGTTGACGTCATGTTGCATGCGATGATGTGACATGCATTTATGCGCTAAATACGCATGCTCCTTGTGTCATGAGCATACGAATGTGTGTTCATTTGTATACAACTGTACACTCATGGTGCATGGTGCACAGGCTATGGTGCACAGGCTATGGTGCACAGGGCGGCTGTACACTCATGCCTCACGAGGCTGTGGTGCACAGGCTGTACACTCATGCCTCACGCGGCTATGGTGCACAGGCTGTACACTCATGCCTCACGCGGCTATGGTGCACAGGGCGGCTGTACACTCATGCCTCACGCGGCTATGGTGCACAGGTTCAACGTATCAATATCGACGTTATTTCAACGTAGAAATAAGGTTGTTTTACGTCCGTTCTAGTTTTGGTCAGATTTCGACGTTGATTGGACGTTTAATTTTGGTTGTTCAACATTTCAACCTGAAATCAACATTGATTTAACGTTTAAAAATTAGGAAAAATTCGACATACCAATATCGACCTTATTTCAACTTGGAAATAAGATAGTTTTAGGTTCCTTCTAGTGTAGGTCAGATTTCGAAGTTGATAATTTGTTTAATTTTGGTTGTTCAAAACCTGAAATCAACCAATAATCAACGTTGTTTCAACGTCAGACGCCTGCTGGGTCTGCCCCTGTACTGTCCAGCAATATTGCACAGCTGCTGCTGCTGCCCCTGTACTGTGCAGCAATATTGCACAGCTGCTGCTGCTGCCCCTGTACTGTGCAGCAATATTGCACAGCTGCTGCTGCCCCTGTACTGTGCAGCAATATTGCACAGCTGCTGCTGCCACAATGGCATCGATACTCGACACGTTATATCATTAAGAATTTTGAGATTATTTAATTTAATTATTTTATTTAAGAGTGGTTCAATATTTGTTATATTATTTATTTCTTCAAAAATTTCTTTAAGAATTTTTTATTTTAGAAGATCGCTTACACAACATAGTTTATTAATTTGTATCATTATAATTTACACAACATAGTTTATTAATTTGTATCGTTATAATTTACACCAGGTAGTTTAAAAATTATTAATTTAATTATTTATTTCTATTAAGGACCTTGTCTAGCTTAATGATGTAGGACCTTGTCTGGCTTAATGATGTAGGACCTTGTCTGGCTTAATGATGTAGGACCTTGTCTGGCTTAATGATGTAGGACCTTGTCTAGCTTAATGATGTAGGACCTTGTCTAGCTTAATGATGTAGGACCTTGTCTAGCTTAATGATGTAGGACCTTGTCTAGCTTAATGATGTAGGACCTTGTCTAGCTTAATGATGTAGGACCTTGTCTAGCTTAATGATGTAGGACTTGTCTTGCTTAATGATGTAGGACCTTGTCTAGCTTAATGATGTTGGACCTTGTCTAGCTTAATGATGTATGACCTTGTCTAGCTTAATGATGTAGGACCTTGTCTAGCTTAATGATGTAGTACTTTGTCTAGCTTATGATGTATGACCTTGTCTAGCTTAATGATGTAGGACTTGTCTAGCTTAATGATGTAGGACTTTGTCTAGCTTAATGATGTAGGACTTATCTAGCTTAATGATGTAGTACTTTGTCTAGCTTAATGATGTAGGACCTTGTCTGCTTAATGATGTAGGACCTTGTCTAGCTTATGATGTTGGACCTTGTCTAGCTTAATGATGTAGGACTTGTCTAGCTTATGATGTAGGACTTGTCTAGCTTAATGATGTAGGACTTGTCTAGCTTAATGATGTAGGACCTTGTCTAGCTTAATGATGTTGGACCTTGTCTAGCTTAATGATGTAGGACTTGTCTAGCTTAATGATGTAGGACTTGTCTAGCTTAATGATGTAGGACCTTGTCTGGCTTAATGATGTAGGACTTGTCTAGCTTAATTATATAGGACTTTACTCAACCAAAGCATCGATGTAGTCTACGTTCAAGCGTACAATAAATCGACATATTATAATCTTCTCTCTTGCATAGCAATTCTTTTACAATCTCTATGTCAATGAAGTGAAACAAAGCCTTCGTTCAAAGCCACTAATATGATCATATATCCACTGAACAGCCAAAGACATTGTAGTTACTAAAGACCAACTCAGAACCTCATGAGTTAAGCGCTGCTATTGGACAAAGACACTTCGCTCTCAGGACAAAGGCAACCTTTTTTTAAATGCTGGCTTTTCATTATACGATACAAGGAGTTCGGTCATTAGAACGTTTGCATTTCATGTTTTTGTTCACTTCAACGCTTTAATTTGACTATCATGCCGTGTTACTATCATGTCATGTGACTATCATGCCGTGTGACCATCATGCCTTGTGGCTATCATGCCATGTGACTATCATGCCATGTGACTATCATGCCATGTGACTATCATGCCGTGTGACTATCATGCCAATATAACTTGATTTCGAGAGATATTCCTTGATGAAATCTCGAGATTGCGGAATATCATTAATTTAACGTTATTAATTGAACTGAAATAATTAATGAAATCATTCCGTTCACATCGGGTTGAGACTGATTTGGGCCACCACTAAGAGACGAAAAAGTCTACGGGTATCACAACTAAGATTCAATTATCTTAGGTGTGCCATCGATCCCATTGAACAATTTAATCGAGGTATTTACTGGAGATATTTACTTGATGAATATATATAATAAAAATGAAGGTGTTTACCTGATACTGTCACCTGCATGCCAAAAGCTCATATCACAGATTTTATATTCGAGTTTTAATAGTATGTCAACTCTCATGTACGAATTGTTTCTCCAAGCTACAATGTGCAATTAGTTTGATTGCGGCATTAAAGTTGATTGAGAAAACAACTCGAGATTGTGAAGGACGTGGCGTGAGAGGAAGCGGTGAGTGCAAGCGTTACTGATAACAAGCGTTACTGATAACAAGCGTTACTGATAAATGTAGCTTAACTGTTCCTGACGAGACTTCCGGGTGTTTGCTTGCAACGCTGCGTCGGGCAGTTATACTTAATGTGGAGCATGCTGCATTCGTTAGAAAACTTTATATCAATACTGCATTCGTTGTAATACTTTATATCAATGCTGCTTTCAGCCAGCAAACTTCATATAAATGCTGCATTCAGCCAGCAAACTTCATATCAATACTGCATTCAGCCAGCAAACTTCATATCAATTCCTATCACAACTACTAAACTTATAACATCACAGCTACTAAACCATACATATGGTACTAAATTTAATGCGCAGTCTTGCCAGCATTTTGTCATTCAACAGAATGCAAGACGAAATTTAGATAATAAATGCGTGATTTCAAGAGAAATAAATGGATCTGTACGCCTTTCTGTGCCAAAGTTTCCACATGTTTTGATAACGATAAGATTGTGACCGTTGCTACGTGAAAGGTTTTAACAACCGTCGCAAACATTTTATCTTCGATGTAAAGAGATGATGGAGATTACGGATAAAGTTTATTAAGTCATTAAGCCATTAATTCTATGGGTTTACATTTTGAGTTTCATTTCAAATGCGTGCAGAAATTAGAGCCCTTCAATTTTGTTTGGCTTTATTATGCTAATGATGTTCTATATTTCACCATGTGCAGAGTTGTGCAGTGAAAACTAAATTATTGCTGAGACGGAACTCTAGCAGCAAGCTGATCTGCTGGGCACTCCAGTCTGCCACCGTCTACAGACCAGTCTGTCAGCTTTTACAAACCAGTCTGGCGGTTCCTATATAGACACACCAGTCTGTCAGTTCCTACTCATCGACAAAAATATCGAAGATAATATTTTAACAAAAATTTACATTCTCTATACTCAGTCGTCTTCTCTTCTCGAGTCCAGTAAGAACGTTTATACTATATCAGATCTGCCCTTTAATCACATGACGAATTCTCAAACGTTCGCTCTACTTCCTGCAACGATCAAATTCTGTAAGCTGTTCAGTTTAAAAAAAAAACGACGTGGATTCCTTGAACATTTTCATTTACTGAAAACAAACTTCGTGGTACAAGGAATCGCATCCTCCCACATGTTGTCTTGTGTGTTATTCTATAAAATTTTGTCCATTCATCGAGCGGGATGTGTAAAAATCAAACCTGACGAGTGATTTGATCCATTCACTCGAAACAGGTGACCAGTGTTGACATAATCATCTTGACATGGTCGTGTTGACATAGTCATGCTGGAATGTTAGTGTTAACATTGTCATGTTGACATGATTGTCCCTTGGAAAATGAAAGTCTCTCGTTACCAGCGCTTGTCCATTGTTTCTTCAACGTATCGCGCGACTTCTGAAAAATATTAATGTTTCCACCCACGTGTCGAGAAATTTTTTCGCACTTGGCTTGGTTCTTCAAGCTTATATGTGAAAAATTATTTGGACGTTCCTTGTGCTCCTGATCATACGAAACAAAAGTTGAATTTCGGGTTTATTGTGTGTGTGATCAACAAAAGATGAAAACAAAAGTTTACACAGAAATTCGTTACTGGATTTGAGTGTAGAAAAACACAAGTGTAATACGAGAGACATCGAAACCACGCAGCGAACTCGACCTACACGAAGAATAAACCTTGCTTCCCTGGACGCAATCCTGCCAATCATTTTTCTCTCCGATACGCAATCTTTCCATTCATCTTTCTTTTCCTATGCAATCTTTCCATCCACTACGAAATACTCTCAATCATCTTTCTTTGCTCTTGGCATTTCCCCGATAATCTATCTTCTCCGTAAGAAATTCTCATAATCCTATCATTTTTTTAACAATCCTTCTCACATAATTGCATCCTGTCCTCACTTCCTTTTTTCGTGTACGCATCCTTCCATCCTTTTCCTCTACCTCCGTCAACTGTGTTTCTGTCAACACTAATATCGATGGACGAAACAGTGCTGGTCGTACAGTGTCATTCAAGTTACAGTTTGCATCCCTTCATGTGAATTCCAGTTCATCTCAGACATTCTAGGTCTTCTAGCAATGAATATTTCCTACTGAATTTTGCCATTCCTCATTTGCCTTCCCGGTTTACTTCAGGAGAAACCGCTTGACTGCCACCTTCGACCTTCGTTGTATCTTGACTGTCAACTCTGCCACTCATTATAATCTTGACTGTCAACTCTGCCACTCATTATAATCTTGACTGTTAACTTACCCACTCGATATAATCTATAAAAATTCGCCATAATAAAGTCACTCGCCTCCGTTTTCAGTGACTGACCACTGGCTTTACCACAATCTTCCCGGGCACAAATTAAACCTAATCGTTCAAAATCATAAATAATTCTCATAATTTCGTATCTTCTCTGCTTCAACTTAACTCTCCCACTTCATTCGCTTTTTACCCACCGCAACTCACCGTACACCCACTGTGACTCACGACTCACCCGGCGTGACTCACTTTACGCCTGTTGCCACTCACCATACAGCGGTCAACCCTCACCCGTGACTTGACGCAACACGGCTTGGCGGTCGCGCGATGGCCTCGTCGGGCAGTAAAGCGGCGGCCAACTCTGCGGCACCGGCCGTAAACGGCGGCCGTTTCGACTTCGACGATGGGGGGACGTACTGCGGCGGGTGGGAGGACGGAAAAGCCCACGGCCACGGTGTATGTACGGGACCGAAGGGGCAGGGAGAATACTCCGGGTCTTGGCACTACGGCTTCGAGGTTAGCGGCATCTACACGTGGCCCAGGTCAGTATAAATAATGAACATTTTTATTTGGTTAAGTGGGCACTGAATTGCATTTACTGCACTTCCGGTTCCGCTGTTGACGCCGCGGCAGCTGACGCGTCACTTCCTGTTCCGCTTCGAGCGCTGCGGCAGCGCAACTTTAAAGCCACTAGACGCGGAGCTGCGGACGACGCAGTTCCCAGTCGCTAATTCCCAGAAAAGATTACGACATCGTATCTTCCGTTGTCAATTCCCAGAACCGATTACGACATCGTATCTTCCGTTGTCAATTTCCACAACCGGTCACGATATCGTATCTTCCATAGTCGGACTTACGGTAGAAACATGTGATTTTTAGTTAGTGTTCGAGACATGGGCCGCCATGTCTTCAGTCAGTATTCGAGACATGGGCCGCCATGTCTATACAGTCAGTATTCGAGACATGGGCCGCCAATGTCTTTAGTCAGCATTCGAGACATGGGCCCCATGTCTACAGTCAGTGTTCGAGACATGGGCCCATGTCTACAGTCGGCATTCGAGGCATGAGCTGCCATGTCTACAGTCGGTATTCGAGACATCGATCATCTCGAGCGCGTATGTATCGCAGCGTATCAATCAATAGCTCGTGCCCGACATGAACTGCAGGCCGCGCTTTATAATTCATGGTTCATCGAACTGCCGCCATGAGTCCAGAGCCAGCGCTTAGTCCCTCCTGATGTCAGGTGCACGCTGACAATTAACGTATTATTGAAACGCTGCCACCCTTCTGACGTCAGGTGCACGCTGACAATTAACGCATTATTGAAACGCTGAGTCAGGTGCACGCTGACAATTAACGTATTATTGAAACGCTGCCACCCTTCTGACGTCAGGTGCACGCTGACAATAGCGTATTATTGAAACGTTATTAGACGGAAATACTAATACAATCCGCGGCAGTGTTCGGTCTAGATCGAGTTACTTGCTCCATGTACAGGTGTTACTGGCTTCTTGTACAGGTGTTACTGGCCTCTTGTGTTACTGGCCTCTTGTACAGCTGTTGAATGCCTCTTGTACAGGTGTCACTTGCCTCTTGTACAGGTGTTGCTCGCCTCTTGCACAGGTGTTACTTGCTTCTTGTACAGGTGTTACTGGCCTCTTGTACAGGTGTTACTTGCTTCTTGTACAGGTGTTACTGGCCTTTTGTACAGGTGTTACTGGCCTCTTGTACAGGTGTTGCTGGCCTCTTGTACAGGTGTTACTGGCCTCTTGTACAGGTGTTACTTGCTTCTTGTACAGGTGTTACTGGCCTCTTGTACAGGTGTTACTGGCCTCTTG